TGACTGTCTTATAAAGAGGTTTATTTGGCTCACAATTCTGGGGGCTGGAGGGTCCAGATAGCATAGTCTCCTATGCGTTGGTGAGGGTCCCCTGGCTGTGTCCCAACATGGTGGCGAAGCAGAAAGGGAGCCTGCCAGATGCAGAAGGACCAAGAGTATGGGGTGGCCTTGACTTACAACAACCTGCTCTCAAGGAAACTGATCGACTTCTGAGACCAGCATTATTCCATCCATGAAGACAGAGCCCCATTGACCTAATCACCTTCCACTAAGCCCAGTACCACCACAGTGGGGACCAGGCCTCTAACACATTAACCTTTGGGGAACAAACCACACATAGACCATAGCAGGAGGTGCAAGGAACCCCTCTTTCTCTTTCCCAGTTCTCTTGCCTTGGGCCTCTGGGAGTGTTTTTGCCTGTTTTAGTCTCTTCCCACTGAGGCCTTAGGGGTGACTAGAGTGTGATAGGAACCTGAGTGGTGAGCTCTGGGTGGCTCTGATAATGCCTGACTCTCACCTATGTCTACAGTGGAAGTGAGCAACCTCGGGATGCTGGGCAGGAGGCTTGACTCAGAGAGATGGCTTAGGGTCAGGTTCTGACGTCTGTCCAGGATTTAGCTTTTCCTCAGCCTTTGTTCCAGAACATTGAGGAGACAGTGGAAACATCTGCTGCCGGAAGAAAATACAGTTAGGAGTGGCGTTTGCTGGGGTGTGGGTGGTCTGCCTTTTATCCAGGTAATGACAGCTGGGTCATTCTGGGAGGACTAAAAGGGCCTAGCCGTCATGTTAAAGATGTTAAAAAACATCTTTCCTGCCAAAGCAGTAATACATTTTCTTTGTTTTTAAAAATTGGAAAACAAAAAAAGTGTGATAAAAAGAATGAGCCCTTACTACCCCGTGGTACCAAAATAACCTGTTAACACTTCAGAGCTTATTTTCCTTTCAGTTTTTACACTGAGGTACATTTCTAAATGAAATTGGGATGATAACAGCAGGCATTTGTTGAAGCTATTGTACGTGCCAGGAGGTGTTGAAGCACTTCACCTGCCTTGCCTTGTGTATGCCTCACAGTGACTCTTTGAGGAATCTTTACTTCAGTTTTTAGGAGAGGAACTGAGGCACAGAGAGGTTAAGTTATTTTTCCAAGGTCACACTATAAGGGTAGTACCAAGATGGAAGCCAAAGCATTCTGTCCTCAGAGCATGTGGACTTGACTGCCTCGGAGTTAAATAGCTTGTATTACATTTCCTGGAATTACGCAGTGTTAGTTCTGAATTATCTCATTCTTCATTCTTTATTCCTCGAACAAAGTCATATCCCACAGAGATGACTTAGTTTACTCACGAACACATAGCCAGTAAATATAGTAGTGCCAGAACAAATCCACATGTCCTGATCCACGCAGACCAAAGCTTGTTGACTACAGGTGATCTGTGAACCTTTGCCCTCCTCCCGTGATATCCTGAAACCAAGCTGTGGTGTCCACTGCACTGTACAGGGTCCATGCCAAGTCCAGGTGAAGCAAAGTACGGGGGACTCTCAGCTCTCTGTCCAGCAGATAGATGGAATCTCAGTTTGTGCTCAGGGAATCTGTGGACATCACACAGTGATACAGCTGCCGTCAATTATCGATGCAGTGGTCAGGCTATAAAAGGTACAACCCCAAAATAGTTCCATCTTTATGCCCTCACTAAACATTTTTAACTGAGGCCTACTGACTAGCAGTAAGATGGATTGATTTAAGCTTTAAATGCTGTTGCTTCCCTTAACCTGGACTTTTGAGGACATGCCAAGCATTGTTACAGCTTTAAAGTAAGGCAGAAGTCAGTGCATAAACACTCCTTTGTATATGAGGCTGTAAGAGAAACAGGCTTATTGCATTGAGACTACCCAGGTGGTTGACCAGCCCTGGTGCAGGTGGAGAATTAAAGGAAGATAAACAGGTGGTGACTTACTGCTGATTTTGGTCAGGTAAAGCATAAAAACTTGCTGTCTTCAAATACTGCAGGGGAATTCTCAATGGAGAATGTCAGGCAAGTGTTTTGTAACTTAATCTGTTCTTATCTGTGAGTTGCAAGAGGGCAAGAACAAGTTCTGATAAAAATTGGGAGAGTGTGTATGCATGTATGTACCGGATGCTACTCAAAGTCAGGATCAGGGTCCCCCTGGAGGTAGGGGTGATGTGGTTGTGACTGGGGGGGGGGAGGGGATTCCTTCTGTTTCTTTAAATGGAGCGTTCCTTACACAGTGTATACCATTTGTAAAAATTCATTGTGTTTTATGCTTATCTACATGTGCTTTTTTCTATGTGAAAGTTATACTTCCATTAAAATTTAAAAGTCCTTATTTGTATTTATATCTTGTTGCATGGTGGTACTCAAAAAAGGTCTCTGTGTAGTTGAATCTGTTTGAAATGATACAGAATTTGCTGTCTAGGTATTGGGGAACCATCTCTTCCTGGAATTGTCAGGGCTGTGTGGGCAGAACTTCTGAGATTGTTTTGTTTTTCTACTAACATGTATCTTAAATTACTTCAGTGTAGACTCCTCAGAATAAAGAACAATGTCACTCCAGTTCATCAAACACTTACTGACAGCCTCCTGTGAATAAGGGAAGTGCTGGTGCTCGGCTGGGTACAGCTAATGCGACACCTTTCTGACTCTGGGTAGTTAAAGTTCACAGGTGCATGATAAAAAGGAGAAGCAAGTGGTGCCACAAGATGGTCACAAAGCCACAGGGCAACTCACAGAAGGGAGGAGTCGTTCTACTGGCGCTATGAAATGCTTCTTGGAAGAAGGGGCATTTGAATGGGTTTCAAAGAATGTGTAGGATTTTAAGAAGAATAGGCAAGCAGCAGGGAGTGCGAATGTCACATATGGAGGAAACCCATAGAAAACTCACATTCTGGGCCTCTTGTGTTGTTTGGCTCACTTAGGATAAACACATCTCTCTGGTGCAAGTGAGGCCTAAAAGGTGAGTGAGGGCCTTATGGTGACCAGGCTGTGTTCTTTCATTTGGGAGGCATTACAAAGCCAAAAGCAGTTTTTAAGAAGAGAGTAGCATGGTCAGATCGCATATCACCAGTAAAATCATATGACTACCCTAGCTGACTATGTGCTTACCATTACTACCCAGTTTGCCCCAAGTAGATGTTTTCTAGGCTTAGTGTGTTCTTTATGACTCTCATTTGCGCCCATTCCTGTTTGGGTCTAGTAATGAGCTACAGGCACACAGATTTCTTGAGGTTCCGGTGCGCATCCCCCTAGGATTTGCATCTGTACCTTCTTTGTTCCCAACACTCCTGACCAACTGAAGTCACAGTCCCTCTATTCTTCTCTCGTACATCCTGTGTTCTAGTCTTACAGTGGCTTGGCGTTTATTTCTTTCCAGCCTTCCCTATGCAATGCTCCTCTGCCAGATAAAGCAACCAGTGTCTCTCACTCAAGGCAAATTGTTTGTGGGAAGATGGGCCGAGGAATAACATTGACAAACAGTTGCACTTTATGAAAAAAGCCTGCCCTGCCAACCTGGGGTTGTGTCCCACTAGCTCCCACAAGCTCCTTTCTCTTGGATCAGGCACTGGGCAAGGTTTATCCTGTGCCAGGGCGCTTATACTCACTGTTGGAAACGGTGCAGATTTGAGTCTGGGTCATGTAGACACTTACTGATTTTTTGCTATCAGCCTGTTTAGTTCCTTAAAAATAACAAAATGAATAACTTTGTGCTGAGTATCATTGTGTCCCCCTTTCAGTTCCTACTAGGACCCTGTATCACAGCATTACTCTAATCAAAGGGTCACTAACACGTTAGTGACAACTGAGATGATTTAGGACGCAGAGTCATTGTTTGGAGATTGTGTTCAAAGTCTACAAAGACCCACTTTTCATCCTCTGAGGACAATTATGGTGGTGTCCTGATGTGGTGAGGTGATTAGAGTGAGGGTGAGCTGGATTCAAAGCCCTTAGTTTCTGCATGTTTATGGATTTAACACATTCCGTGTCTGGTATGGTAAGGTAAGTCCCACAGGACAATCACATGAAGCCCCCTGGCACACAGTCCAGTCTGCCCTCCTCTCTTAGTGTACAAACTTCTACTGCCCTTCCCAGGATGCTTGTGCTACTTTGTGCTGCTTTTGCCTAGATGGCCAGTGTGTGAGAAGACTGTTTCATGTGATCTTAATAGTATCGTTTTCTTTTTTTTAAATCGTTGTGGTTGTGGTTGTGGTTGTGGTTGTGGTTTGGAGTATTTGTTTCCATATCTAGATACTGTTTTTGTTTGTTTGTGTTCCTTGGGATTGAACCCAGGGCCTCACACATGCAAGGGAAGCTTCTTACCCCTTGAGTCAGGTCCCCAGCCCTTTTGTTTTTATTTTGTTTCTGAAATAGAGTCTCAGTAAATTTGCCCAGGCTGGCCTCAAACTCACAGTTCTTCTCCTTTTTCCTCCCAAATAGCTGGGATTATAGGTGTGAGCCACCATGCCTACCTGTATTATTCAATTATTAATGTAAATCCTGCACAGTATTCTTCTGTCACATCTGTTTTAATGATTCCACTAAGGAAATAATTTCCTTATGTTGACAGATGTAGCTGCTAGAACTTTATTCTTTTTTTTTTTCTTCCTTTTTCTTCTACTTCTGTTAAATGAGTTCAGGATTAGATGCATTTCCCATAACAGTGAAGTCCACAGAGAGGACGCATCCTAGGTACCTGGGCACTTTGGGAAACCAGACTGGCTGGGACCTGCATTTTCTATTCCAGCCACCCCAGTCACTATCACATCAGACAGCAAATCAGATGCCTAAGAGCGCCAGTCTCATGTGTAGTTGGAAGGAGCTGGGCTGTTTGTCTTCAGCTTGAGGATAGCAGGGAGTGTTTGCCCTGTGAAATATTCAGTTGGGAAGTCCAGGACTTACTGTGTGTGTACCATGTGCCCAGATCCCGTCCTAGTCAGTGTCTCCTTAACGTCCCACGTTAAAGGACTTGTCTCCGTTGTCTTTCAGGTGGAACGTCATGACATGAATACCCTAAGCCTGCCCTTGAACATACGCCGAGGCGGGTCAGACACCAACCTCAACTTTGATGTGCCAGATGGCATCCTGGACTTTCACAAGGTCAAACTCAGTGCAGACAGCCTGAGACAAAAAATCCTAAAGGTAACGGAGCAGATAAAGATCGAGCAAACATCCCGAGATGGGAATGTCGCAGAGTACCTGAAGCTGGTCAACAGCGCGGACAAGCAGCAGGCGGGCCGCATCAAGCAGGTGTTTGAAAAGAAGAACCAGAAGTCGGCTCACTCCATCGCCCAGCTGCAGAAGAAGCTAGAGCAGTACCACAGGAAGCTGAGGGAGCTCGAGCAGAATGGAGCCTCCAGAAGCGCCAAGGACATCTCCAAAGACAACCTGAAGGACATACAGCACTCTCTGAAAGATGCCCAGGTGAAATCTCGAACTGCCCCCCACTGCATGGAGAGCAGTAAGTCGGCCATGCCGGGGGTGTCCCTCACGCCCCCTGTGTTCGTGTTCAGTAAGTCCAGAGAGTTTGCCAACTTGATCCGGAATAAGTTTGGCAGCGCCGACAACATCGCTCACTTAAAAAACTCCTTAGAGGAGTTCAGGCCCGAGGCGAGTGCCAGGGTCTATGGGGGCAGCGCCACCATCGTGAACAAACCCAAGTACGGCAGTGATGACGAGTGTTCCAGCGGCACCTCGGGCTCGGCTGACAGCAACGGAAACCAGTCCTTCGGGGCCAGCAGGGCCAGCACTCTGGACAGCCAGGGGAAGCTCGCCATGATCCTGGAGGAGCTGAGGGAGATCAAGGACACCCAAGCCCAGCTGGCAGAGGACATCGAGGCACTGAAGGTGCAGTTCAAGAGGGAATACGGGTTCATTTCGCAGACCCTGCAGGAGGAGAGGTACAGGTATGTCCAAGCATTCTGCTGGAGTTCCCTAGAAGCATGACTTTCCAACTCCACAGGGAGTGTCTGCTTCAAAGTTTTGGACTAATGATTGTGTTTTCAGTAAATATGGATCTGGATCCAAAGGCACTTAGGAATCCAGGGTTCTTTCCACCCATCCTTCATAACTCCAGCTGTTACAATTTGTGCATTATCGCTGACAGAGAAAGACACAGTGCGTGGGTCTTTTAAGATGTCACTATGCAGGGTGTGACCCGTGCATTTTTAGATAAGGATTCAGTAGACTTCTGTTACATAGTCTTACTGCACTAATTCAGAACCCTATATTTATTTCCCTCCATAATAACAGCCAAGTAAAAACCTAATTCATTGTACCACAAGGTAGATTTTATTTGGTATATCAGTTTGAAGTCTTTATATATATATATATATATATAAAGTATGCACTATATTTTGACCATTAACTTCTTCACCCTAAACGAAGAGCTTTCAAAGGAGATTTTAAGATTAAAGTAGTGGCATGATAGTGAATGCCTGTAATCCCAACACCTGGGAGACTGAGACAAGAAGATCAAAGTTTGAAACGAGCCTGGACTACATATTGAGACCCTGTCTCAAAAAAAAAAAGAAAGGAAAAAAAACCTTGCAGATTAAAATACAAATTCTAAATCTTGTGGTGTATATCAGCTACTTTTTTAAAATAGCTGTTTTGTAGGCTGGCTTTTATGTGCTTACAGCTTAGTAATAAAAAGTATGTTTGACCTAATAGGAAAAGATTCCCCCATTTTCCTGATTAAAAAAAATCCCCTCCAAGTGTTTTAGTCAAAATGGGTATGTTAACTTCTAAGATTGTAGATAAAGTTGTGAATGTCTATTACACACTATCACATTTGATTGTTAAATTTAGTTTATACATCATTTTATACTTGATGTATGATTTTATGTAGTGATTGACAGATGGGGCTCTTTTCAACTCATTTTATGGAACTTTTTTTGTGTGTGGTACTAGGAATGGAAACCAGTCTTCATGCTCACTAAGCATGTGCTCTACCACTGAACCCTGAAACAATTTTTTTCAAACTTCCCAAGTGCATCTTTACTTTGGCATATCCAACACACCAGACCTCTTTTTTGAGACATAGCTCTTCAAGAAGACGCTGACCTTCATTTTCTCAGGTAGTTTGGAATACAGAACTTGATGGATTCACATTTTATCCCCCAATACTCATTTATATAAGTTTAGGACTGTTTTTGTGTTCATTTGTTCTTGGTTTTGTTTGTGGACCCCATGGTGTAATAACCACTCAGCATATTCTTAAGAGGCTGTTAAAGGGCTTGTTTATGACAATGGTGAACATTTGGCATCCATGAAGGCATGCCTGAGGACAATCACTAATCCAAATTAGCCTTTTCACCTGCTTTTTTAAGAATGATCCTGTTAGGTGACCTACACAAGCATCTGTGACTGGCATCAATCAGAGTCATTCCCAGCTAAGGCATCTTCCCAGATGGTGCATCCTGTTAGAAGTAGACCCGACAAGGGTTTGGACAAAAGACAGATCCTCTTCTGTGGGAGAGCAAGGCGTGGGAATGGGGCCTCTGTGTTTCCCTTACTTCAGATTTGGGCTTTGGAATTGCCACCTGATGAACTCTCTGTAATCTGTAATAGCTTAATGTTTCATTGTTAGTGTTTGTAATAAGCTTATGCTCCAGGAGCTGACAAGCGTATCCACTTGAGTGTGCTCACTGAACGACGTAGCATTGGCTGTGGGTAGAAGTTAACAGTTAGCGTTGTTCTTTCCTCAAGGGCTGTCTAGCCATGAACCCCAGACACTGAGGCAGACGAGGGAGAAGCCACAGCAAATGGGGTGGGGCTTGGTCCTGAGTAAATCCTGCACAGCCCTCTCCTGACTGGCTCTGGTGAGGTGTCCACTGACAAGGCCTGTCCAGTCATCACCCCAGCACAGGCACTAGTCTGGCACAGGTGGAAAAGTCAGTTTGGGTTTGTGTGAAACCACACAGGTGAGGACATAGTTAAGACCACAGAAACCAATCCTTTGCAGAGATAGAATGCAGGGCTATCTAAAAGTGTGTTCCCCACAGCTAGGTCTGTTCTTTTGGAAAAACTATCTGCTGGGGTAAGAACAAGCCAAGGGGCCTGGCCGACAGTAAGACAAAAAGGACATCTTTCTAGAATGTGCTACCGGAAGCCCGTGAAATAGCATGCTTAGAACAGATCCTCTCTTTGTCAAGGTATGAGCGACTGGAAGACCAGCTGCACGACCTGACAGACCTGCACCAGCACGAGACGGCCAACCTGAAGCAGGAGCTGGCCAGCGCCGAGGAGAAGGTGGCTTACCAGGCCTACGAGCGGTCGAGGGACATCCAGGTACCCCTCCTCCCCTCGTCACACCTAGCATGGGCTCTTCCCCGCCTTAGCCTGTGAACAAACAAACCAAGCGCATCCCCTAAGCCCTTGGATTTCTGTCCTGTGGGACATGGTGTTTTCTCTGCACAAACATTTCTTCTCCCCCACCCACCCCTTTAGCTCACGTTTAGACATCACTAAATAAAGAGGCTGTGGTCTGTATTCTTTCTGCTTAAATCAGTTAACAAGCGTTATCGTCTACCCCAAGCCCAGCTCTACCAAAACATTAACAGATTTACAGTATGAGACAACCCCTGCTCTCCAGAAGCTTCCATCCCCACAGCCCCACTGCCAAAGGGCTCACAACACATGAACAAGGGCCATATTCCAGGGCACAGACTCCACAAGCCACAGAAATTCAGCCGTGCAGTGCCCAGCAAGCTGGACAGGAGGGTGTGGGTATTCAGGCACTCACTCCATGATAAATGTTGGGTTTCAGTTCAGTTGTGCCACTTACCAGCTGTGGGGTCCTGAGCAAGACGAGTCTATTGCTCTTTGCTCATCTCTAAGGTAACAGCTTTCATGTTGGGAAGGACTTTGACATTTCAAGGGCGTACTGTGCTAGACACTGGTGAAGCACTTCACACGTCTCGTTTTTTCCCATTTGCTCCCCAACCACCTTTTAAGGTTGTTCCTGTTATTAGCACTGCTTCTCAGATATGGAGACTGAAGCACAGGACATGAAGTGGCCTTGAGGGACAAGTGAATTTATGTCCTGGAGCAGATGGGTCTGGAAGAAAGGGGTAACTGGACCCCTGTAAACCAAGGCCAGTTCCTGAATTTCCTGATGTGACAGTGCTGTCATGAGACATCCCTATACTTCTAGATCACCATTTTTTAAGGAGTGTACTGTTGGAGAAACACCCAGCTTCAGTTTTACAGATTTCCTCTGAGGCGGGGGTGCTTTTCTGCAGCTCAGGGAAGGCCCTCGGCAGTCCTGAGTCCCACTTTACAAGGGAGAGAATTGAAACCTGGAGATGGTGATGGCTCCTGTGTGAGCTGCAGTTTCAGCTGTGTCCTTGTGAGGCCCAGCTGATTTCTCAGGTCTGCTGATGGTTCTGGGAACAAAGCACCAGAACTGATGGGAAATGTTGTCCCCAGAGAGCATGGTGCAGGGGACACGGAGGGACCGCTGGCCCTGCTCTGGATTAGGAGACAGTGTCACCATAGCGGTGACTGATTTGAGAAACTTGAACAGAGTTAAATGGTAAACATCTCCTGAGGGAGTGTACGGTCATCTACTAAGCCGTGCTATTTCAGACCGGGTCTGGGATGTCACTGGTGCTGTCTGAATGTACCGTTGTCTCACTTAGGGGATGGTTTGGGTTCAGTTGTTCCCTTTTTGAAGAAATATTCTAGGGGTGAAGAGGTCAGATAAAGGGAGGGACGAGGGACTTCAAAAGGGGAACTTGGCACTGAGGATTCATTGCCACATTTTCCAATTTAATGGTAGGTCAGAATTGTACAGATAATGTCTGTGTCAATAACTGCAGGGGTCTTTCCTGTCGCTGTGTGACCCTGGACAGATTAGTGCTCTGTGCCTCATCATCTTCATCCATGAAGTGGAAAGGCTAATGAGCCCCATCCAAAAGGCCAAATGGGATATGCATTTAAAGAGCTCAGACTCTGCATAGTAAAGTTAAGCAATTAATATTAATTAATATTGGCCACTTTCTTTGTTGTATTGTTGAGTGGCACATTCCTTGGGGCTTTAAACAATGGGGCCTGCTCAACTTTGTGTTTGTTTCCCAAGCCCTTAGTTCTTATAACCGTGCTTATAACAGGGATGGGCTAGTATAGATTAGTTGATGACTGCATATAGGGACACAAGAACTTTGTTGTTGTTTCAAACAATTGAAATTTTAAATTCCCAGTTTAAAGAATTTAAAGGTAATCCTTGCGGAGCACAGTGGCTCATGCCTATAATCCCAGCTACCTAGGATGCAGAAATAGGGAGGATCTCAGTTCAAGGCCAGACTGGGCAAAAAGTTAGCAAGATGCTCATCTAAACTACCAGGTGTGGTGGTTCATATCTGTAATCCCTGCTACTTGGGGGCATAGGTAGGAGGATCATGGTCTAAGGCTGGCCCAGGCAAAAACATGAGACCCTATCCAAATATAACCAAAGCAACCTGTGTGTAGTGGCTCACACCTGTAATCCTGTCTACTTGGGAGGTAGAGATCAAGAGGATTGAGGTTTGAAGGCCAGCCTGAGCAAAAGTTTGCAAGACCCCATCTCAAACCAATAAAAAAAAAGCTGGGTATGGTGGTATACACCTGTAACCCAGCTACTGTGCCTGTCCAGGCCAGGCAGGGCATAAACTGAGACCTTATTTCAAAGGTAACCAAAGCAAAAAGGGCTGGGGGGCGTGGCTTAAGTGGTTGAGTGTCTACCTAGAAAATACAAGGTTCTGAGTTCAAATTCTTGTGCCACCAAAAAAAATTTCCTTCCTCTGAATTTATCCCCAATAAGTTAAGTACTGGACCCAAGGAAGTGCTAAAAACTGTGGGACTTAATACTTCTCAGTGCTGTGACCAAAGTTCCTTGCAATTCATTGCCTGATTTTCTTGGATTTTTCTTTTAGTAAAAAGATTGATACCAGTTGTAAGGGAATTTTAAAATCAGTTCATTGGTACGTGTAATTTCTTCTCCCAATCAAAGATGAATGAGTGTGCCTAAAAGGTGGACCGTTTGTCTTGTTCCATGGCCTTTCCTGTGTGGTGTCTAAGATGGAAGAAGCCCTGGGCAGGCGTAGTGGACAAGCGCTCAGCCCTCCAGGCGCAGGCCTGTTACCGTGGCTGGCCAGCCCTGCTGAGAATCTGAAGAAGTTTCACCTTGCGGTTGGCAGCCTTGCATCATGGAAGTTACTATAGTAACAGAGAGCCCTGTTCTTTTGGCCTGTAGAGCATTTTCAGCAGGAGAAAAGCAAATCAATGTTGGAGCCATTACTCTCGCTTAAAACCCAAAAAGGTGGCTGTGCGTAACTGCGCAGACACACTGGCAAATGATGCAGACAATAGGCTGGCGACCCGGGGGTGCACAGACTACCTCTCATTAGGTCCTTTTCCCCGTGAAGCTCAGGCTGTCTCTGACACTTTTGCTGGCTCCCAGGCTCTTTCATCTTCAGCCGTTGATTGGCACCTGCTCCATGCGGCCCTGGCCCTGCTCTGGAGAGGGCAGGACAGCAAGGTGGGTTGAACACTGTCTGCACGTCACTCATGTGCTGCTTCGTTGGGAAGGAGGGCTGAAGGGAGTCTTGGCCTAATCTGATGGGGCAGGGAAGGCTCCCCTCAGGGTGGAACAACGGAGGCGAGACCTGAAAGATGAATGGGGTGGCCCCAGGTAAAGAGAAGGGGAATGCGAGGCACACATCTCAGGCAGAGTACACTGCAAGTGCAAAGGCCCTGAGGTGAGTATGTGTTACATTTCAGAACTTGGCCAGAGCATTGTGAGGGGTCAGGGGGCCAGCATTAAGGGAGGCAGGATAAGGTGGCTGTGTCTGGTCCAGACCAAGCCTCAAATAGCCATGTTAAAGATTTGAAAGGCTCTATGAAAAGGAGTGTCATAGATGAGCCTCTTTAAAAGGTCATTTGCAGCCAGGTACCAGTGGCTCATGCCTGTAATCCTAGTTATTTGAGAGTCTGAGATTGGTAGATCACAATTCAAGGCCAACCTGGGCAAAAAGTTCGTGAGGCCCCATCTCAACCAGTAGCTGGGCACAGTGATACATGTCTATCATCCCAAGCTATAGCAGGAAGCTTAAGATAGAAGGGTCGCTGTCCAGGCTGGCCTAGGCACAAAACAAGACCCTATCTCCAAAATAACCAGAGCAAAAAGGGCTGGAGGCGTGGCTCAAGTGGTGTGGCACCTGCCTGGCAAGCACGAAGCCCCGAGTTTAAACCAGTACAGCCAAAAAAAGAAAGGAAGACAAAATATCACAAGCTCCCTTGGGCTGTTATGTGGGAGATGAGTTGATTCACGAGGTTGGGGAATGAGGTGGGGTGAGGAAATTCGTGTAAGACCATGGCAGGCAAGATCCTGGTGACATAGGATGGGGTGGAGTCTGGGAGGCAAGAGAAAGGGACTAATTGAGAGGGATACTGGGTTCTCATCTGCGGAGTAGATTGGGTTGCAGGCCCAAGTGCAGGGTGGGCTTGCTCCCTGAATGAATATCAGACCATTGAACTGGAGGTGCTTTCAAGAAGCTGGGATGGAGCTGTCACTGGAGGTGTGACTCAGCCTCAGAAGGGACCCCGGGGCTAGTGGTGTATCAGTCATCTGTATCTTAGGCTGAAGCCTTGGAACACAGAGATCTGGGGATGCAGAGTTGGTGTTCTGCAGAACTCCACATAGGCAGATCAGGCAGAAGCACAGCTGCACCATCTGTACCGTTCCCTTCCCTTCTTGCCCACACCTCCCTCTCCGCTTCCTCGCTGTCACCACACAGACACACAAGCTCCAAGTGGTGGAAGTGAGGTCACCCGTTGGAGACAGCAGTGACCATGGCTGAGGTAGGAGCAGTCTGTGTCACAGAGCAGCCACACCCCTTTTCTGGTTTGTCCCTGATGGTACCAGCAGATGCCAATATTTCATGTCACTTTTATTACACATTTACATGGAGTCTTAAAAAAACATACTCCTTATTTTACGGTGGTACACACACACTCATTCTGTCTGGAAAACAGGATAAAATCGGCCGTGGGCTCCTCACTTTACATCTTTGCCTACCGTCCTGGTTGTCAGGTCGGGGACTTGAAGTACAAGGTGTTTGGAGCTGGGCTCTTCGCACAGCTGGGCACGCGCTCCCTGCGGCCTGGGCTCTCGGCAGCATTTGATCCTCGCTCTCCTCTTGCCCACAGGAAGCCTTGGAATCCTGCCAGACTCGCATCTCTAAGCTGGAGCTGCACCAGCAGGAGCAGCAGGCCCTGCAGACAGACACGGTGAACGCCAAGGTGCTGCTGGGGAGGTGCATCAACGTGGTCCTGGCCTTCATGACCGTCGTCCTGGTGTGCGTGTCCACCCTCGCCAAGTTCGTCTCGCCTGTGACAAAGAGCCGCTTCCACGTCCTTGGCACCCTCTTCGCTGTGACTGTCCTTGCAATATTTTGTAAAAACTGGGACCATATCGTGTGTGCCGTGGAAAGGATAATCATCCCAAGATGAAGCCGGTTCCTGCCTTCACATTGTTCTTAAGTTTTTATTTTGAAGAAAACTCTGTGCATATTACCAAATTTTTTATTGAATGGTTGTGCCGACTAAAGATGACAAGAAAGACGAGGGCTGTGGGTGTAAATGACTGCTCTCTTGGCTCGGTAGCAATTGCCAACTCAGTCCCTGTACTCTCTCAGCGCTTCCCCACGCTGCTCACTGCCTTAATCAGATCAGGTTCCCTGCTCACTTGGGGAGCCCCACATGGTAAACCTTTGTGTCTTGAGCACTTGGCGTGACTGGTGACCCAGAGGAAAGGGAGCCTCCCCCCCTCTCTCTCTTGTTCTCTTAAATCTCTGTCAAAAGTGGACGTCATGATTGCTAATGGTTGTACTTTTTCTGAGTCCTGTCAACAGCAAGGATGTGACAGGATTCAGGAAGGTAAGGAAACAAGCATTGGCTATGTTGAGCACTGGGGACCGTGTTGAAGTAGAGTGAATCTCTGTGCAATCTATCCCACTTGTCCACAGGTACCACAGGCCCCTTGTGTACCCACTGTGCACGGTGGTCAATTGTGTGTGACCTTATAACATGGAAGTCTTATACCTGCTTATCCACAAAAGTCTGCCTTACAGGTGTTGCTGCACTCTAGATGGTGAGACACTAGGATTTACAAAGGGCGCGTTCCTCTTCTTATTCCCAGGGAACCACGCCCCTGATTTCATCTTAGCAAGTTAGCAAATGCCCTCCCTCCAAAGCATACAGAAATACTTCCTTCCTCATTAGACTGCGGCCTTGTTCATTTGGGCTCCTGCGAGCCCTTCACCAGAGGTTTGTATTCTGGCAAATCTTGACTTTGAGGATATCATTCACTTTACTCTCAGGGCTGTGAAGATCAGATGGCCAAGCTTCCTCAGGAAATGAAAACAAGCAAGGCTATGATGCAGGGTTTTCCTGAAGAACAACAGAGTGACAGTCTATAAAGCTAACATGCACTGAGGTAGGACCTGGACACTGGCACGAGGACAAAGTGACATTGGTCCAGTCAGATGGTAGTAGATTAGTGGGAGGCTCTGCGCAGGGGTGAGAAAGGGCAGCGAGAATGCGGTGGGGTGAGTGTAGTGTTGGGGCCCCAGTTGCTGGCTGTCTCTTAGGAGCTCACTGAGACTAGGTCCACATAGTGGAATGGCTCACTGCCACTGAGGGGAAGCATTCAAAAGTCCTGGCTTCCTCCTGGTGATACTTTCCTTTAAATCTGGTTCTCTGTGTCCCAAAAAGGAAGCTGTAGAATATTGTGGTGGGAACTCCTGCCCTACTATCCCCACCGTTCCTGAAGGTGTAGACATCTGTTAGTGTTCATTTTCTTCCAGAAGATACCACATCTCCTGGATTTAAATCAGGTGCAATATTTTGCAGACAGCTGCTCCTATGGGGATCTCCTGAAAAAAATGTGAGAATGTGCCATGGCTTGAGAGAAGGAAGGAGCTGAGTGCTTACTACAACTCCAGCGTGGATGAATGACACTTGTACAACTCCAGTTTCTTTTGCAGAACTGCACACTTTGGTGATTTTAGTAAATTAAAAAAACTATCCAAACATCAAATCCACCCCTAACCAATTCAAGCTTTTTTAAAACAATGAACATCATTTCATGAAATCTGTGGTTATAAAGTATTTTGGAATCAGGGACAAGGGAATTATGAGTTCCACCTGCACTGCAGGGCCTTGTCCCCTTTCCTTGTCACACTCCCAAGTTGTCTGTATCCACTGTGACCCTTTGAATCAAGGGGGCAGTGAGGGTTCCATGTCTGAGCAGGGAGGGAGAAAGAATGGTGTGCCTCCTCCCACTTGTCCATTTCAGTGGACAGCCTGCCTCTTCCCTGTGGGCATCAGACTCCATCAACTTGTACCCTTAAGTCACAGGAGCCCTGCTGGGCTGCTCTTGATACTTGTGAATCTTTCTGAGGGGCCCTTTGGACCTAGCAGGGTTGGGGTGGAGAAGGGGAGTAAGATGCAGCTGCTAGTTTACAAAGAATGAGTGAGATGGGCACATGAGGCTTGGGGCTCCAGAAGGCCCCGAGAAGATGCAAGCCCCAGTGTCTCTCTCTCTCTCTCTCTCTCTCTCTCTCTCTCTCTCTCTCTCTCTCTCATACACACACACACACACACACACACACCATGCCATGGCACGGCCTAGCAAGCTCACTGTGAGCGACACCTCTCTGACCTGTGTGTCTTCTCCCAATGAGAGACGAAAATGGGAAGCAGCACACCACACCAGCTCCAGCTGGAGCTATGAACAACCTGCTGGAATCCAGCTCCAGTCTGAAATACTGCAGGGCCTAAGTCATCCAGCCTGACCTGAATTCTTTTGAAGAATTCATATTTCCATTGACTCTCATTTAAATGTCAGATAACCTTGTTTCACTTGCATATGCTCAACCTACATGGCCTGTTTATTTTAGTCTTCTGGAAAGTTCATGAGGCTTTTTACTTTTTAATAAGAAGATATACTTCAAGGAGACTTTTACTCTGTCCAGTTTATTATTCTCTTCTTAAAGACTGTGCCTCCCACTGCCTTTGCTCTTCAGTGTATAAGATGAAATGGAAATGTATGAATATACACTTTAAAACCGTCATGTAACTATGACATATGCTGGGATTGGATGCTTAATCTACATTTAAGACAACTGATCCTCTGTACCTTCTGTTGGTGGTAAACACATCGTGCACACCTAAAGATGAAAGCCAGGTGTTGGGTGGGTAAGCACCTGATCACCCAGGCATGTTACTGATTTACGAAGTTGGACTCTGGATTGTAGCACTGGACTTTTCGGTGACGTTACCATCATGATTACAGGATCATGATAGTTTGTCAAGGACAGAGCCAAAACTTAAGATACTCTTCTGTGGGCTTTGAATTTGTTATTTCAGCTCATATTTGAAACAAAACCTCTACTCTCTCCTCGACCCCTCCAAAAAGAAAAAATAATAATCTAATCCACAAGGAAGCAGCAACTAAAAGCGTTCCATTGCTGATTTTGTGGGGTTTTTTTTTTTAATCCTTTTTACATTTACTCACATGTATATACATTGTTTGGGCCACCTCACCTCCCCTCCCCACCAAACACAATGTGTTTTTTTGTTTGTTTGATTTTGGCAGTACTGGGGTCTAAACTCACAGACTTGCTCTTGCTAGACAGACACTCTACCAGTTGAGCCACTCCACCAGCCATCACTGATTTTGGATGGTGAACACAAGGTGGTAGTGTTTTTGCCTACCTGATCCTATGACCTACTGACGGGTTGAACTCTCCTAAAACTCCCCTTTGCACTTCAGCTCGCCACGCTGCCATCTCCTCTGTCAGCATTCATGCCACTAGCCCTCCTGTGTATATTTATTGTTCTGCCACTTCTCCAGCATATGAGGTTTAATTACAGGTTCGATAACTAGTTTCCCTCAGGCAACTAATTACTTTGTCCTTTTTGGCTGATTTTAAATACCAAATTATTTCACATTGAATGGGAGCGCTTTTTGTATTGAATCCAGACATAATTGTATTGGTTTAGAAAAACAAATATGCTTGTTGATATGAACACGTGTGATGAAACCATCTCGTTTGAATGTATCTTTAACTTGAGGAGGAAGCTGGGGGTGCAAAGATGTCATTATTTAAAATTTAGGGCTTATCTGAAGCAGGTGAGCCCGTGACTAAAAGGGGAGCAGGTCCAAAGACAAATCACAAAAGGATGAGGTGGTTCTGTTTATATCAAAAGAGAAGCTAAAAGGTCTTTTTAACTGTCATTAACGGGAGCTTGATAACCCATATGATATAAAGCAGAGCTAAATTTTCTGAAATCAGTACAATTCTTTGTAAGAAGCTGGAAAGTAATGCACCTTGATTGCTTTAGGAATGACTTACATGTTGCCATTTTAATTTATTTAAAGCATGTCTTCTGTGTTTGTCCTGAGAGAAACATTTCAACTAAACATACGCTGTGTTTGAGATGTGTTTAGGCAGTAGAGAGTAGAAACTGGAAATGTCCACTGTGACAACTGTGTCCACTGTGACAACTGTGATGTCTGCTGCACAATTGCCATTTTGTGCAATGCTACATAGTTTCATATCAGCCTAAAATTGTGATTTCTCTGTAGCTCTTTACCGGGCAGGTGATGTCATCAATAAATTCAAAGCAGGTGCCATTATTTTTTTAAATAAACACTTGATGTTAGCTTTGGTGTTAAATAAGAGTTAGATTTCTTAAATATCCACATTTGTCAGCCCATCTCAGTAGCAAATGTGTGTGTGTGTGCACGTGCACGTGATATCAGTTTTAATGCACTAAGTAGTAAAACTGAGCAAAAGTACAGATTTCCCTTAGATCTGCCCCATATCATACACAATGCTGCCGCCCCCAAAGGCACAACGCCCACCAGAATTGACCTGTTACAGCTAATGAGCCCACATCAGCAAGTCATTATCACAGGAAGTCTGTCTTTTACATTAGAGTTCACCGTTAGTGTGGCGCCTTCTGTGGCTCTGGACAGATGTTTAAAGGACCACCACTCGTGATACCAAATGCACTGTAGCATCCTACAGAATAGTCTCACTGCCCTAAAAATCCCATGTTCCCCGTCTCTCATCCCTTTTTCCCTGCATAGTCAACGTTTGAACTGTCTGCAAGTCGATTCCATAGAAAGTCGGCAGTGTGTGATGTGCGGCCCATTTCTTGAACCCCAGGGGCGGGAGGTGGGAAGGGGAGACGGTGGTTTATCTGCAGTCCATACTTGCGGTGCTGGAGAACATGTCCAGGGGTTGTGGAAAGGAGTGACGGTAAGGAGGAAGCAGAGCCCTCGGGCTGGAATGAGGAAGACAGGACTGACGTGAGGTGCCAGCACAGGTGTGCGCGCAACCAGGTGGCATGGGAGGTCTGCTCAGCGGGGTTCTCATTTGCAGCCGCTTTGCTGTTTGCAAAGCAGTTTGTGTTCACAGTGTGTGGACTCAACCAGACCAGTCCCCGATGTGGGTACCGGTATCCCCAGTGTGTGGACAGCAAGCTGGGACACAGGAGCGTTACCCAGTGCTTCGGCCACTGAAGGAGAGGTTGAGGACTGTGCTTTTGCCTGCCCATCATTCCGCCTTTTTAGCCTTCTGCGTCCAGGCACCTCGATGTCCTGAGTAACTTTCTCCCTTTGGTCACCCAGCCTGTACCAGTGAAATAACTAGAACTCTCCAATGATGGAAACATTCGCTACCTCAGCCCTTCCCTGCCCTACAGAACCGCATATTTGAATCTTTGGAAATCATTTAGGTCACAACTTTTTTGTTTTGTCTTTGCAGTACTAGGAATTGAACTCAGGACCTCCTGCTTGCTAGACAAGCAGTCGACCTGTTGAGCCCCACCCCTCCAGGCCTTTTAGTGTGTTTCAGATAGGATCTCATGCTAACTTTGCCCAGGCTGACCTTGAACTGCAATCCTACCTCTGCCTCCCGAGTACCAGGGATTATAGGTATGAGCCATTGTACCCAGACACTTCCTCATTGAGTAACACATCTAAGAAACATCTTGTGTATTTGCAAATGTCCACAATCGTACTTTAACAAAGTAACAACGTCTTACAGCATTTCTTAATGCCTTTTCTGAGTCTGCAGCTGTGAGACCGAATTATCTAGAGCACCACATACAGAGTTACCTTCTAACACTATGACCCTGAGACGTAGAAATTGGTGGGACAGATGAGGACATAACAACACAGGACAGTACCCTTGGGGCAGTCATACATGCAAGACGCCACCCCACATTCTTTGAGCATCTGTGATGCACCATGCAAATAAACGCCCTTCATGCAATATCAACGGTGGTCATTCCAGCACCCAGTAACACAGGAGGTACAGGTGATATATATCCTTGTTGGCATACTGGGGTTTGAACTCAGGGCCTCACACTTGCTAGGCAGGCACTCTACCACTTAAGCCACTCCACCAGCCCTTTGTATGTGTGTGTGGCGGGGGGAGGATTTTCAAGATAGGGTCTCACTTTATGCCCACGTTGGCTTGGACCATGACCGGCCTATTTGTGCTTGAATCTTTGGTCTACATCAGTCAATAGTATGGTTGCAAATTGTGCATTTATACCTCCAGCCTGCCACCAGACTGGGTGAGGGTACACCTACCTCAAGCCACCATGCTAGATCTTGGAAGAGCCACGGGCTGACAGATTTGTGGATGAAGACAACAGAAACCATTAATTAAACTTCTACACCCTCCCTGGGTTCCTGGGATTCT